TTATTGATTAATAATATTTTTTTTTTTCTTACATCACATTATTATTATATATATATATATATATATATATATATTAGTCATCAAAAGCTCTTGATATGTCTAAATTGAGAGCAGAGATAATATGAAGTTATCATCAAAAGTCAGATTTCACTGAATTACCTCTTCTAACTTTTTATGAAATAAATGTGTAGGATCAAACTAATGAAGATAATGAACCTTGTAAAATTGAATATGAATTTGAATCTGAAAATGAAACAAAAATTAAAACTGAATCAGAAGAATCTGAAGAACCTAAATCCAGAGAACCTGAAGAACCTGAGAATGTAAGCGATGATTTTGTCCTCATTGAAGACTTGGACGAAGAAAAAATAGTAGACTCAAGTTCCTTAGAGACTGAATTTAGCTAATTTTTAGATGTATGGGTGGAAATATCAGCAGATAAGACTGAGGAAGTGATGGATACAGAAGATGAGGATGAAGAAATTTTATCAGTTAATGCTGCTATTCATCCAGCAGTCGACTCTAATGCTAAATGGGATTTGATTACACTTTTTAATGAATTAGAATTGCCGTAATTATACTTGTTCAATTTTATGATTTTAATAATTTATATATTTTATTTACAAGTCATAAATTGCATGCAGATGTATTTGGTTTTACAAAGCTAGTTGTAAAATAGGCGCTATAACAAATATTTTTTATCTTGTCAAAAAGTTTTGCCTATTTTATTTGAATATAAAATAGTATATATCTACATACTTTTGTCTCTTAATCACAATGACTTTCCATCTATTAATGAAGAAAAAAATCAGTTTTAAAAGAATGTGGAATAATTATAGATTCTTCTGATACTTTATTTAATTATGCAAGATTTTTGAAAGTTCTCAATTGATTTAATTAGTTTTTAGATTAATTTACAAAATTCAGGCCTGTCAAATAATTGATTGTGGTGGCAATATATGAGTGAAAATTTATAGTCAGAACATTGTGATTATTTAAAATGACTATAAGTAAACTATATAAACCGATACATAACTGATAAGTAACTCAAAGAATTAATTAAAATATTCTTTTTAATAATAGTCATGCCAAATCTTGCATATAATTAGTCTAAAATTTTTTATTCATAATAAAAACTGCAGAAATTGGATATTTTTACTCATATGATTAATTGCAATTTTTCTGAACTCAATTGATTAATTGATGGCACAGCCAATTAATTGCGACTGTATGCAGTGCTCTATATGAAATTTAAAAGAAACTTAAGTTGATTCTAAATATGATATTGTAAAGTAGTAATAGTTAAAATGAATTATATATTATAATAAATTATTAAATATTAAATATTTAAATATATATATATATATATATTTATTTATTTATTTTTTATTATTTTTTATTATTAATATTTCACTTATTCATTCTTTATAATTATTTTGATCCAAAAATGACTGACTATCCGTTCTTATCTCATAATGTATTTGACGACTTACTTTTCAAATATCTTGACAGCAAGTCAGTTAATAGACAACGTAAAACCTTATTACATGTGATTCTAGCAAATACAATGCAAAGGATCGTTATTGGGCAAAAAAAAATATTTGCTATACGTGATTTTGGAACACTAACAGACTCTAGAATTCAACTTATCAAAGTTGATTTCTTACCTGTGTTTCTCGTTGACAAGATATATGAAGTATTATGTAGATGCTATTTTAAAAATTCTAAATGCAAAAACATTATATAGACTTTAAGACAATAATTTAGTTTTCGTCTCATCCTTTATATACAATTTTTAATGTGATAACTACTCTTCGTAAACTTTATCTTAAAATAACTTAAATTCTAAAATAACTTAATTCGATGAATTGATTTAGAATTTCTTTATTTCTGTTAAGTTGAATTAGAATTTGGAATTCTATTACAACCGATGTGTATTTGGAATTAACCTAAGTAGATTCTAAACTCACTACGATTCTGTTCTCACATATGAAATATATACATGTGACAAATTGATTAAATATAATTGGTCTGATAATTTGATATTTGTCTGGCGAACAAATTTAATTGTCCAAGTCTGAGTCTGGTCTGAGTTCGGTTTGAGTCTGAGTTCAAGTCCAGTCTGAGTGACAACACTGGTATACAGTATATAATTTCACAAAAGTTATTTGTACAAAACTCGAAATGATAGTATATCTAAATTAAGTTGAAGTTTCTTTTAAAAAAAAATTTAGTAACGATAAAAATTATAATTCAGAACTAATTTTTTTTTTTTTCCAACTTTAGCGATCATGCTCGAAATTTATTTAAAAGAAGTATTTTTAAAAAAAAATATATATAAGAA